CATGAAGTGATGGGACCAGATGCCATGATCTTCATTTTTTGAATGTTGAGTTTTAAGTCAGGTTTTTCACTCTCCTCTTTCACCTTCATCAAGAAGCTCTTTAATTCCTCCTCACTGTGATTAAATTAGAAGCCTACTCCTCAGGCTTCAGCTTTTAAGATAAAAAATTAGGCTTCTTTCAAAAGAAAGACTGGCCATCTCAGTCTTCTGCTTCTCACTGAACACTGGGGGGAAAATCATGGTGAATCCTTGGAAGTTTTTAAAGAACTTTTTCTTAGTTCACTATACCATTATTATCTCATGGATGCAAGCTCCACTGATCTTCAGATCTAGATGTTTTGGCGTCCTGTCAGGTAGAAGATTTAAAAAAGATGGGGAGTAAGAAGAGTGGTCCAAATCCTTCCCTGCTCAGAGAGAAGCTGGCAGTTATAATTTCCTTACCAATTATGTGTCTTAGCCTCTCACCCATTTCAGTGTTTTTTTTTTTCTTTTTGGTTGGTTTGTTTGTTTTTTTCCTCATTCACCTGAGTGGCTGAGCTACTTTGGATTTCTTTCAGAGGTAGTCATTCCATAGTTAACTGTAAATTCAGTGTGCTTATGGGAGGAGGTGATTTCAGGACTCTCCTCTGTCAATATTTTGAAAAGAAAACCATTTCTTTTCATTATTATTTTCCCCCCAACCAGAGATCTGATCAGAGATTTTCTCTGTCTAGAGAGCTATCTTCAATTTTGCAATTTTTATTTCTATCTGATTGAGCCTGCTATTGAAGCTCTCTGTTGTGTTTTTAATTTTATGCATTGTATTCTTGAAGTCAAATTTGTGTGTGTGTGTGTGTGTATGTGAGACTTCTCTGTTGAACTTCTTATTTTGTTCATGCATTGTTTTTCTGAGTTCATTGAGTTGTCTGTGTTCTCTTGAATTTCACTGGACTTCCTCAACATAATAATTTGGAACTCTTTTTCAGACAACTCATAGGTCTCCATTCTTTTGGTGTTCAATTACTGAAAAGTATTGTCTTTCTTGGTAGTGTCTTGTTTTTCCTTTTTTGTGTATTTCTGTGCATTGATGTCTGTGCATTTGAGGGAGCAGTCTTCTCAAACTGTCTTCGATGTGGAAAGATTGGCACCTGATGGTGGCTGTGAGGGTGCCAGCTAGGAGTGAAGCGACACTCTTCCTGGGAAGGCGCAGTGGTGAAGTTTCTGCAGCTCCGTCTATTGGGGGCAACGTCAGCAAACACAATGGGCTCTTTTGTGGTCAAGACTGTGGACTTTCTGTGGCTGGCATTAGTGGCTCGTGTCGTGGTGGTCCTCAGAGGTTAAGTCTCCTGGCATCCTCCACTTCTCCACTTTTGCCCTTGAGAAGAAATTCTAACTGACTTGGTCCTTCTCAATGGCAGATTTGCCAGACTGGCGCTCGAGAGCAGCGGCCGAGCCAGGGCCCTAAAATCAGGTACTGGCAAAACTGTAAGAGTTCCTTGGTCCTGGAGCATGGATCCACTACTGCCACAGTAGACAGATCTGCTGCGGGATTGGATTCTTGGTCTATGCGACTTGCTGAAGTGATTCAGGTCCCAGGGGTAGGACATAGACGTGGCATGGGTTCTTGGAAAACAGGATGAAAAGCAGGGTTTTGGGCCCAGTGGGCAAGGTGTAAGAGCATGGTGGGTCCAAGTCCCAACTCTGGCAACAGGGGACATGGCACAGAGGAGAAGCAATGCAACTCTGGTAACGGCAAGTCAAAGACATCAGTGAGAACCCTGGGGTCTGCACAGAGCTCCTGCAGGGCAGCCTGTGATGTGGCTCAGAACCCTGACTTAAGACCAAGGGAGGGATGCAGAGCAGGGAAATCTTATGTCTGGGAATGGCCAGTCAGAGTCACAATTTGAGATGTGGGAGCTGGGCATAGAGAAGCATCTGTTGTCTTGTAGAGGATGAGGCACTGTGGCCTCCTGTTATTGGAGAACAGAGCAAAGCAGTGACTAGTGAGCCTGTAGGCAGATCTACCTACGGAGACAGAGCTCCAGCCCCCAGAAGTGGAAGAGAAAAAACCAGTGGGGATTCTGGGCAGCTGTCAGCTGGGTTTAGTGTTGCAGAAGACTGTGGGATTTCTTGATCACAAAGGCTGCAAATGTCCATGACGGTGAGGCTTGCTGGTGCTCACAGCTCTCTGCTCTTCTTTACCCTGTGAAGTGAACTCCCTTGGAGTGGAACCCTCTTGGCACAAAGGTGCTCTGGACAAGTGGAAAATAACACATATAAAAACTTCCTGTTCTTTTCTATGCAGCTATTCTTGGTTTATGAGCTGTGCAGGATGACTGTTGCTGCTGCTTTGTAGTCCAGAGTTTTCCTAGAACTATTTTCATCAGGCTGTAGTTGTTTATTTTTTAATTTTATTTTTTTGTTTTTGTAGGGGAGATGAATGTTGGAGCCTCTTAGCCCTCCATGTTTCTTGAATTTGATTCTGTTTTATAGTCCTGAATCCTCTGTTGGTGTCTTTTAAACAGCATCATAAAATACTGCACTTATTTTCTTTTAAATCTCTAAATCACTTTGTTTTATAGGTTTTCTTGTTATATGTTTAGATTTTGCCTTTTAAGTTTTCAAGTCTAAAATCTCAATCCCTCCTCCACCCTCCCACTCTCTCTCCCTTCCTCCCCCATTTCCCACCTTCCCTCCCCATACAAACATATACCTATGTCTCTCTCTCTCTCCTTCCTCTAGTTCTTTTGCATTTTAAAGACTTCAGTTGAGTTCATTTAAACTTTTAAGATGAATACACACTTAAAAAAATATTTTCTCTATTTTAAATTTTTATAAAAGGGTTAAAGATTTATTTTCCAAGGAGTAGAGAGAAGGTTGTTTGGTAGATTAAGAGGAAGACATTCATTCACTTATCCACTGAATATATATGGAATGCATATATATATGCATATGTGTGTGTATACATATATATACATATATATATATGTATATATATATATATATATATATATTTAGTTCACAGTGCCTTTACTGAAAAAATATAAAAGAATTCCTGTTATGTAAGAGGAGCCGATTTTTTCTTAAAGAACACATCATAGACCAAATGAATAAGCAAACTGTGTAGTTAGTCTACGGCTAAAACCTGGTATGGAACAAAAATAGCGTGTGCTAAGATCCCATGAATGACTTTGTTGTTGTTGTTCAGTTGTTGAGTCCTGTCTGAACCTTTGTGCACACATGGACTGCAGCATTCCAGGCTCCTCTGTCCTCTACTAACTCCCGGAGTTTGCTCATATTCATGCCCATTGAGTTGGTGATACTATCTAACCATCTCACCCTCTGATGCCCCCTTCTCCTTTTGCCTTCAATCTTTCTCAGGGCCCTTTCTGATGAGTTGGCTCTTTGCATCAGGTGGCCAAAGTATTGGAGCTTCAGCATCAGTCCTTCCAATGAATATTCAGGACTGATTTCCTTTAGGATTGACTGGCTTGATCTCCTTGCAGTCCAAGAGACTTCTCAAGAGTCTTCTCCAATACCACNGTCAGCTTCAGCTTCTTTAGCATCAATGATAGTGGCATAGATTTGGATTACTGTGATGTTGAATGGTTTGCTTTGGAAACAAACGAGATCATTCTGTCATTTTTGAAGTTGCCATTTTGGACTCTTTTTTTTTGCCTATGAGGGATTCTCAATTTTTTCTAAGTGATTCTTACCTATAGTTGTAGATATAATAGTCATCTGAAATAAGTTGTTCATTTCCATTCATTTTAGTTCATTGATTCCTAAGATGTTGATATTTACTCTTGCCATCTTCTGCTTGACCACATCAATTTACCTTGATTCATGGACCTAACATTCCACATTCCTATGCAATATTGTCCTTTATAGCATTGAGCTTTAGTTTCACCACCAGACAAGTTCACAACTAAACATCATTTCTACTTGGAGCAAACTGCTTCATTCTTTCTGGTGCTGTTAATAATTGCCCAATGCTCTTCCGCAGTAGCATATTGGATAACTACCGACCTGGGGGCTCATCTTCCAGTGTCATTTTTTTGTGTTTTCGTACTGTCCATGGGATTCTCCAGGCAAGAATACTGGAGTGGGTTGCCATTTCCTCCTCTAGGGGACCAGGTTCCATCAGAACTCTTCATTATGACCTGTACATCTTGGGTGACTCTGCACAGCACAGCTCATATCTGTATTGAGTTGCACAACCCCCTTTTCCACACAAGGCTGTGATCCATGAAGGAGATGAATGAGTTAACATTTAAATAGGAGGATTCAGTTGGGCCTCATTGAACAGATGATGTCTGAGCAAAGATTTAAATGAGATGAGAGAATGCTGTAGGGATGTAACTAGAAGTGTATTCTAAGGAGATGGATTCCAGGAGGGCCAGTTACTCATCTGGTAACTGAGGAAAGAGGATGAAGATGGGTAAAAAATAGAATTTTAAGGTAAAATGTGCATGTCTAGATTTGTTAGTGAAATAGGATATTAACATTTCACTTGAGGATGGGTTGAAAATGTATGGAAGCTGACAAAACATGGAAGAGTCTTTGTGGGAAAGAAAATGGGCACAAACTAGGGATGCGTGAGACTGCTGCCCAGGATCAACTTGGAGTGAGAAGAGAATGGATGTTATCCATCTTTACTAGAGCCATTCAACATGATTAGGCAATTTTCTCTGAAGTGTGTTTTGAATTAGAAGCAACTGACAACAAACTATCATTTGTTCATTATATACTATGTGCTAGCCTTTTGTTGACTTTGTTGATTTATAATATCTTTACACTAGTGCATGAATGATTAATTTTGCACATGAAGTAACTTAGACTCAAACAGGATAAGCTATCTAATGTTAAAATGTTAATGAATATCTGAGCCATTGTTAGAGTATCACTTAGGAAAAGAAAAAAACAACAAACAAAAAGCATACACACTGGTTGGTTTTAGGTGAAGTTTTTACTTTATAAGGTGAAAAAGCCTGAAAGTCATGCTTATTAAAAAGTGATAATTTATACAGACAAGGTACAGAGACAAGTGTGCCAAAGGTAATGGATCACCCAAGAAAGGAGAGTGAAGAGGCTGGAGATCCTGGAGAAAGCAGGACAAGGCAAGTTGCTTCTTCACACAGCAAGAGACTTCAGTTGTTTTTCATTAAACATTTCAAATTTTATAATGCTGAATAGCAATATATACTTTGTGAATTGAAATGAGGTATTTAGAAACATGTAGTCATTTATTTTGATTGTAGGATGACAAAGTTCATAGTTGTCATGAAATGTATTTATGAGTAATTCTTCCTTTTTCATTCTTTACCAGTATATTTTCTCACTAAGATATAGCATTTATGTGAAAATTCAAGACACTTTGTGGGATTTTTAAAAGACGTATTTCAGATGGAAATGCTTTCAAAATTATTTACATCAAACATTATCTTTGTGTTACTTTCTCATGCATTATGTTGAAAATGCCATTATGGATCTCTCACTATGGCTATAAAGCATTTTGAATGGCACTTTAAAATAACACCAAATGTAAGTGATACAATTAAAAAAAAAACAATATCCTGGGAGTTTAGTATTTTGCAGTAGGAATGTGATAAAATGTAATCATTCACTCTTTCGTTGAAAGCAATTTTAGTTGCAATCACCAATCAGATATCATTTGATCTATAATATTAATGGCTCAGCCTTGAATTTTTATGTCACTATCAATAATTACACACACAATTCATGTGGTGCAGTGCTTTTCAGTTTTCAGAGCTAGGTTTTTAATATTTTTATATCAATACAGTGGCATATCCCATAGAGATGCTTCAACAACTGTCTAGACACAGTGTGAGGTTGATAAATATGAATTATCTTAAATCATTTGCAATGAAATTGAACAGCTAACCCAAGGGCTTGGGTTAAGAGAGGCAAGTGAATATATTGTACAGTGTCATTTCTTATTTCTTTTCAGTTTGATTTTTCTCTGTGATGTGTAATGAACTAGATTAATGGGCCCAATTCCATTACTGATTAAATGGATTTGATTTGGACCTTTAACAGGAAAGTCACAATAGCAGTCAGCTTCAGAGCAAAAGCTTAAAAATAAAAATGAGGGATGATTTCAGAGAGAAAGAGAACTACTAGGCAGTAATATAGAGGCAGGCTTGTTTAAATTCAGATGGATTATTTGATTAATGCAAGGATCATGCTGCTACATGTTGCTGATGAGCTGGGGCATATAAAGTAGGTACTGTTAATGAGAACATCTCATGTTAAGAACAACTTTTTTATTCAAATATATTTCAAGTATGTTGTTGCTGTTCAGTTACTCAGTTATGTCTGACTCTTTGCACACCAGGTTTCCCTGTCCATCACCAACTCCCAGAGCTTGCTCAAACTCATGTTGATTGAGTCTTTGATGCCATCCAACCATTGCATCTCCTGTTGTCCCCTTCTTCTTGCCTTTAATCTTTCCCAAATCAGGGTCTTTTCTAATGAGTCAGCTCTTTGTTACAGGTGGCCTAAGGATTGGAGCATCAACTTCAGCATCAGTCCTTTCAATGAATATTCAGGTTTGAATTTCTTCAGGATTGACTGATTTGATCTCACTGCAGTCCAAAGAACCCTCAAGAGTCCTCTCCAACACCCCACAGTTCAAAAGCATCAATTCTTTGGTGCTCAGCCTTCTTTACAGTCCAACTCTTACATCCGTATAGGACTACTGGAAAAACCATCCATTCAGTTCAGTTCAGTCGCTCAGTTGTGCCCGAATCTTTGTGACCCCATGGACTGCAGCATGTCAGGCCTACCTGTCCATCACCAGCTTCTGGAGTTTACTCAAACTAATGTTCATTGAGTCAGTAATGCAATCCAACCATCTCATTCTCTGTCATCGCCTTTTCCTCTGGCATTCAATCTTTCCCAGCATCAGGGTCTTTTCAAATGAGTCAGCTCTTCCCATCAGGTGGCCAAAGTATTGGAGTTTCAACTTCAACATTAGTCCTTCCAATGAACATTCAGGACTGATTTACCTCAGGATGGGCCAGTTGGATCTCCTTGCAGTCCAAAGGACTCCCAAGAGTCTTCTCCAACACCACAGTTCAAAAGTATCAATTCTTTGGCACTCAGCTTTCTTTATAGTTGGACTCTCACATCCATTCATGACTACTGGAAAACACATAGCCTTGACTAGATGGACCTTTGTTGGCAAAGTAATGTCTCTGCTTTTTAATATGCTGTCTAGGTTGGTCATAACTTTTCTTCAAAGGAGTAAGCACCTTTTAATTTCATGGCTGCAGTCACTATCTGCAGTGATTTGGAGCCCAAAATAATAAAGTCTGACACTATTCCCACTGTTTCCCCATCTATCTGCCATGAAGTGATGGGACCACATGCTATGTTCTTTGTTTTCTGAATGTTGAGCTTTAAGCCAACTTTTTCATTCTCCTCTTTCACTTTCATCAAAAGGCTCTTTAGTTCTTCACTTTCTGCCATCGGGGTGGTGTCATCTGCATATCTGAGGTTATTGATATTTCTCACAGCAGTCTTGATTTCAGCTTGTGCTTCATCCAGGCCAGCGTTTCTCATGATTTACTCTGCATATAA